AGAGAAGTGTACTCGGGGTGGGGGGTGGGGTGAAGGGATGTGGGAATTGTATACTAATGAAGGAATTTTTTTCTTTTTTTTTTCTTTCTCCCTTCGGAGGGGGAAGTGAGCTGGTGTGGAGGGGTGGGAAGGTAGAAAATTGCGGCAATGAATGAATGGAAATCCAAAACCTCTGTAAAAAAAAAAAAAAGGAAAGAAAAAATTATTAAAAAAAGAAAAAAGAAATCAAAAGACACACAGCACTGGGGAAGTCACCTGTCAACGACCTCACCAAAGTACTGAACAGCAATAATGAAAGCCTAAAGTCTAAGGTGTGTTTGATTCAGGCCACAGTCCTTTCAATCAACTATGCATCCGAGAGCTGGACAATGAATAAGAAAGGCAGAATAAAGATCAATGCCTTTGAGCTGTGCTTTTGGACTTGAGTGCCGAGTGTCCTATGGACTACCAAAACCACAAATGGATGTGTCTTGGAGAAAGTTCGGCCAGAGTGTTCCTTAACACAAGGTTAGAGAAGCTTCATCTTTCCCCATCCTTTGGGCATCTTGTTAGGTAGGGCTATTCCTTAGAAAGGGACATCGTGTTTGGAAAGGTGGCGGGTCAGTAAAAGAGAGCAAGACTCTCAATAAGATAGAGTGACACAGTGTCTGACTTACGAGAGAAAGTCTATCAGAGACAGTAAGGCTGGCACAAAATTGGGCAAGGTTCATATGAGCTGTTCATAAGGTTGCTCATAAGGTTTGTTTGTCATACTCCACTCAATGACACTTAACAAAATAACCATGTTAGCATTTCCTCGATATAAATCTGTGTACATACATACATAATGATAGATGGAGAAAAGACTGAAGCTATCAGAATTCTCATTTTACTTGCATCCACAATCAACACGTATGCTAGCAGCAGTCAAAAAATCAAAAGATTGGTTCAAATCCATCAGATGCTCTGTTGGAGGAGGGACAATCTCCTCCTGTACCGGTCAGATCTAACTTGACAGTACACACACAAAAAAGTATTAAAAAGTTTTAAAAAATTTAAAGTGTGTTGCAATGGGAAAATCTTCTGTATAACACCTCTCCAAAGTGCTAAAAAGCAAAACTTTAAGTTTAAACATTAAGGTATTTCTGCTCCAAGCCACAGTATTTTAAATTGCTTCATGTGTATTTGAAAATTGGACAATAAATAAGAAGACCAAAGGTGAATGTCTGAAGTATAATAATGGAGAAGAGTACTGATTATATCATTAATTATCTTGAAGGAAGTACAATGAAGGTGTTCGTTAAAGGCAAGGATGGTGAAAGCTGATCTCACATACTTTAGGCATATTGTTAAGAGGGGACAGAAATGAAAGCCCTCAAGGGAATGATTTGAAACAGTGATTAACAATGGACTAGAGCATGGCAGAAATTGTGAGGATGGTACAAAATAGGACAAAGTTCCGATCTGTTGTCCACAGGGTTGTGATGAGTTGCAGTTGACTCGATGGCATCTAACAGTATATATATAAATATGATTCACGAGTTTTTCTCCTCAAGAGAACACAGACTAAAGCATAAAGTTAATTATTAATAAAAATTTCGTAAGTTTTGGTTTGTCTTTCCTGGTTGGTTGATTAATGAATGTTTTAAATGATTGTTACTTTTTTAAAAAAAATTTATTTTATTAATTTTAATGAACATTTACAAAGATTTTGGATTTCTATTCATTCACTATTGCACTTTTCTCGCTGCCCCCTGCCCCCCTCCCCAGTTCATTACTCTCTTCGAAAAACTCCTTCATTGGACCAACCACCCCCCCTCCCCACCCACCCCAAGTGCACTCTACTATGCAACTTTAATTCTGGACTCCTGTGATGACCATAAAGTATTGTTACTTTTTAGGAAGGTGCTAATACAGTAGAAGGTAAAAGTTTAAATTTTATACACAGCATGTTTTCTGTTATTTATCTTACAAATTTTAATACTGTACCCGATTTGAGACAAAAAAACCTAAAGTATGTTTCATTATGAACCTAAAAATTCTTAAAAACCAAAAGTAACCTACCTTTGATCCATGTAAATACTGGGGTTGTGCATTAGGCTGTTTATCTCTTTGAAATTCCTGAGAAAATGGTAACACGGTCCGAACAAACCTAAAAACACACACACACACACAAATAAATAAATAAATTTCTATATGCATTTACATACGGAGCTCTGGTGACTTAGTGGGAAGAAGTTGCATAGGCAACCCAAAGTCCAATCATCTGAAAGGCTGGGTTATATAAGGAGGACTGCGGCATCAAGATTGGAGGAAGACTCATCAACAAACCTGTGTTATGCAGATGACACAACCTTGCTTGCCGAAACAGAGGAGGACCTGAAGCATCTGCTGCAGAAGGTCAAGAACTGCAATCTTTAATATGAACTGAAGCTCAACATCAAGAAAACAAAGATTCTCACTACTGGGACAATTGGTAGCATCATGACAGTGAAGAGATTGAGATTGTTAACAGGTTCAACTTGCTTGACTCTACAATCAATACAGTTGGGACCAAATTCCAGGAAATCAAAAGACAAACTGTATTGGGAAAATCAGCTGTCATAGACCTCTCCAGAATACTAAAGAGCAATGATGTCAGTCTGGAGACTAAGGTACACCTGATCCAGGTCATAGTCTTTGAAATTACTTGCTGAGCATCAGAGAAATGGACAATGACTAAGAATGATAGAAGAAGAATTGATGCCCTTGAGTTGTGGTGCTAGAGAAGATTATTGAACATACCATGGACTGCTAAGAGAATAGATTCACCCTAGAGAGGGTGAAACCAAGCTACTCCTTGGAGGCAAGAATCTGAAAGTTCCATCTGACATAATTTGGGCATGCTGTAAGGAGGGAGCAGTCAGTCCCTCGAAGACATCATGCTTGGAAGGGTGGAGAGAACAGCACAAGAAAGGAAGACCTTAGGTGAGATAAACTGATGCAGCAACTGAGATGAAGCTTATACAAATAAAACCACAAAAACTATAGTAAGAAACAAAGACATCTATACAAAGCAGGAATGTATCTTTATATCTATAAGAAGATTATCTATGAGCAAAGATGCTTTGAAAATGTGAATACTGTCCAAATCAACCTACCTATAATACACAATGAAATCTTAATACAGATTCTCCCTACATATTTCAAGATGCAAAATTAACTATTAACTTCATATGGAAGGGAAAGAGGATTTGGAAATGGTAAGTATTTCTGAAGAACAACATAGTACGAGGTCTCACATTCTTCAACGTTAAGACATCCTACACCGTCACATCAGTCAAAACAGCTTAGTGACACAATGACAGATACATACACTAATGAAACAGAATTAAGAAATCAGAAAAAAATTACTAAACTTCCATCCCTCTATAGGCAGTTGATCTTCTTTTCCTTCACCCAGCTCTATTTATTAGTTTTTGTTCACCTCTCTTTGCATCTTTAACAAAGGTCCATAAAACATTAAATGGGAAAAATATTTAATTTAATGTTGGCAAAACTAGGTATCCCTAATAAAAACAAGAATTGTACCTCATAGTATGTATGCAAATTAATTCAAGGTGGATCAAAGATTTAAATATAAATCTCAAAAAGACAAAATCTTCAAATAAAAAACAGAAGCAAACTTAGAGGCCCATCAACAACCACAAAGGTATGTGCCATTGAGTCGCTAGTGACTCATAGTGATCCAGAGCTTACACATCTATCCCCATTATTCCAGTTACTTATCAATCCATCTCACCTGGGTTCTTCCTCTCCTGAGCTGTCCCTCCACCTTTCTAAGCATGAGGCACTTACTTCTACAAGGACTATTCCCTCTTCGTTACATGCCCAAAGTATGTGAGATGGAACCTCAAAATCCATGCCTCAAAGGAGCAGCCTGGTTTTACCCTCTCCCAGACAGATCTGTTTGTTCTTTTGGCAGTTCATGGTATGTTGAATACTCTTCTCCACAATGCAAAGACATTCTTTTTTTTGTTGTTGGTCACCCTTAGGCATTATTCAGCTCTTTGATGCATAGCAACTGCAAGGACCAGGGCTTGGATCAGGTGCACCTTAGTCTCTAGACGGACTTCATTGTTCCTCAGTATTCTGGAGATGTTCTTGAGAGCAGAATTTCCCCAGCATAATTTGTATTTTTATTTCCTGGCTGCTGCTTTCCAGAGTGTTGATTGCGGAGCAAAGCAAGCCGAAGTTATTAACAATCTCAATCTCTTCACCACCTATCATGATGTTACCATTCGGTCCAGTGGTGAGAATCTGTTCTCTTGATGTTGTGTTTCAATCCATATTGAAGGCTGCAGTCCTTGACCATCTTCACCAAGCACTTCAGCTCCTTCTAAGTTTCAGCAAACAAGGCTGTGTCATCAAATACCAGAGGGAAAAAAACAAAACAAACAGAATCATCTACAAACTAAATTCTTTTATCAATCAAAAGACTTCTTCCAAAGAGTGAAAGGGAATCTATGGATTAGGAAAAAACTATTTGGCTTGTAAGACCAGGGCTAAAGGGGAGCTCTGGTGGCCTAGTGGTAAGGAGCTGCAACTACAATCCCAGAGGCGCACGGTTCAAATCCACCAGATGTTCTGCTGGAGAAGGAGGGAAAAATCTTCTCCTGTACCAGTAAGATCTGATTTGACGGTACACTCACACAGAAATAATAAAATAAAAATTAAAAAAAAAAAAAAGAAAGAAAAGACTACGGCTTAAAAAAAAAAGACGAGGGCTTAATCTGTAAATGTTATAGACAGCATCAAAACATAAAAAATAAAAAGTTTAATTAAAAATGGGCAGAGGTTCAAAACAACTAAGAGATATCATTTCACCCCAGTCAAAATAGCAAAATTTAACAGAAAAGCAAGCAACAAATGCTGGTAAAGTTGTGGAGAAACTGGTTGATGGCAGTATAAAATGGTGAAAACACTGTGGAAGGGGATATGGCCCTTTCTCAAAAAGTTGCAAATAGACATACCATTTGAGCCAGCAATTCCACTACTGGGAATAGACCCCAAAGAGACCATAACTGACATGCACACACATGTTTATCGTGGCTTTTTTCACAATAGCAAGGAGTTGAAAATGACCTAAGTGCTCATCAACAAACAAATGGATAGAGAAG